AAAAAAAATTTTAAAAAGTGTCTATAATAATATAGTACCCCTGTATGCTTGATCGATCATTATAATTGATTTTGATCGATTAAAAAAATTTTTTTGATCAATCATCGATCAACGATTTTTTTTGTCAAGTCAATTCCCTATTTATATCTAATCTACCCAGTGTTGGTCGACCAAAATTTACTGGTCAAATTGGTCAAATTGGTACGGTCTAATGGTCAAACTGGTCTGGTCAAGCCAACACTAGTAATACTGTAGTTATTTTATAGTGCCAATTAAAAACTTATACAAATTAAAATATTGATCATTTCACATTGATAAAATTCATTATTTGAGATACATCGCTTACGTACTGTATTCTGATATATATTTGATATTACACAAGAAAGTATAGCTCAATATATACAAAAAAAAAAAAAATGTTTTTTTTGTAAAGATCAAAAGAGTAAATTATTATTATTAGATCGATCAGCCGATTTTGAGAAATCAACCGGTTGAGCCGAAAGTTAGCTTTAGCCGATCTTTTCTTTATTGGCCAGGATCACTACCAGAAACATTAACTTCAGTCCCACGAACATCTTCCAAAAACTTTACAGGATCAATAAATGTAAGCGGAGGAGAAGGTTTAGATGGCATAGGAGTAATCGATTGCGTGGCTGATAGTGCTTGTTTAAGTGATACTCTACTTCTTGGTGTATTTGTCTCGAAAATTTGTTCTTCTAATTTTGGAATAAGTTCTAAAGTCATGTTTTCGTTATCTTCACCATTATTTTCATGTTGTCCAGTCAATTCTTCAATTATTTTGTTGGCATAAGCGTTCAATTTGGCACTCAATTCCGAAGAATCTTGTAGTATTCGGTTTCTATTTTTTCGCATAGCGAATCCGATAGCCGGCTTTTCGTATGGTGTATATTGACGATCTTTTGTTCTGCCGATAATACGTGCGCTTGATGGCGCATATTTGGACATTGATTGCGTTCGATCTGGAGTAGATGCCGCAGAGATTGATACCGATATGGTGGCCGTAGTTGTCAATCCCTCTGTTGTAGACGTGGCAGTTGCTGTCACTTTTGATGGTTTTGGTATAGAATTTATAGCAGCTTTTGACTCTTTAACTAAAGGTGGCTTATATGATGAAAACGGTGTAGATCTTTTCTTGTTTGTTGATGCTTGTATAGGTTTGGTTTTATCAGAGCTTGCGACTGGTACGCTTACAGTACGGGACGGTAAGGGTGGTCGTGCGGGTTTATTTTCTGTTCGATTTTTTGATGGTGGTAGTCTCATATCCACTGCCCACGTTTGAATCGTTGCCGTTTTTTCAGATATGACATTATTTAGTTTTTTGTCTTTTGCATTTTCATCATCTTTCGTGTATTTATTTAGTTTTTTATCTTTTGCATTCTCGTCATCCTTTGTGTATTTATTTAGTTTTTTGTCTTTTGCATTTTCGTCATCCTTTGTGTATTTATTTAGTTTTTTGTCATCCTTTGTATATATGATAACGTCACCCTGCATTTGTTGCGTATTATATTTACGACTTTTTTGTAATGTTTTAATACGTGGACGCTGATTACTCGTTGGTTCTTGAATTCCCAAATTCTTCTTCGCAGTAGAAGATAAAGTGTTAACAAACCTAAATTTATGAAATTTTGTGTTAACATAAAGCATGCCATCAAGATTTTATGTTAAAATGAATGGAACTCACTCCTCTAGTCGTAAATCAAATTTTACTTTGTAGATTTCGAAAATTTTCTTTGATGTCGCCCTGACAGCAGGCGCAGAGTCTATTGCTCCCTCCCTAATAATCCGCTCCAAATCAGCAATATAATTATTCAGATTTCCAACATCATTTACCTCAATACTAGCGAGAACGAATTCGGATGCACAGGTTCTCAATATTTTACTTTGACCTTGTAATGCCTCTTTAAATTTTGGAATTAAATTCGGAACATGACACTCTCGGATTATTGTCATCATGCATTTTTGAGCTCTACCAATAAAAATTTTATTTGCGCGCGTGCATAATTTCAGGATGGCAGGCACAAACGATTCCACTAGAGTATCGAATTTTGGCCCAAGAACTTTGCCAATTTCTTCAACCAATTCTGTTGCTGTTCCAGACAACCGTGTCCGTTCAGTGAGTATCTGTTCAAATAGACCAGTAAATTGTATATGAAAAACTTAATTATTCATATGTTTAATTTGCTCAATTTTTACATTACCGAATCTAGAATAGGCTGTCTCAAAGATTTTATCCCGGATATGAATATTTTTTCATAGTTGATAGCTCCACCACGACTCAAAGAGACTAGGCGTTTTAATGCATCATCAAATAATTGCCACGTATGCTCTGTTTCTTTTACTTGAAATGTTTCTTGAATCTTTTTTATTTCATTTTCAAGTTGTGCTGCACTTTCGACCTATCAGACTTATCAGTTAAAAAAATGAATAGCAGACTGAAGAAAATATTTAACGAAGTTTATGCCATAGCTTTTTTTTTCACCTTTATTTCAGACATTGTGTTGGCTGAAGGGTCGCGAAAATTATAAAGCTTGTTTATATATGGGATATTAATACGAAACAGCTTGGTGCTACCGTGGAGTTGATGTATTTATTATAAAACACGACTCTAACACGACATGGGATTTTCCTTTTGTGAAATGAAAATAAAACGCACACACTACAAAAAAAAATTTCAGGGGTCCTATGTAAAAGATTTTATACTATAATTAGAAATTTAATGTTGCATAATTTAATTTAGTTAATTTCAATTGAAATTATATGTTACTTTCTGTTTAAAAAACTTAATTGCTAAATGCACTGTACGTACAATACGTAAGTATCCCAAAAAAGTTCTCAAGTCTCTATTTTCTACTAACAGTTTTAAAATAGTATGTAGATTTTAAAATTGTACGTAAGATTATACAGAAGTATATACGTATATCTGATACGTATACAAAATTTTTATACGTATTAAAACATAGATACGTACTTTAATATCTGATATATATATATGGTATATATATATATATATATATATATATATACATATATATATATATATATATATATATATATATCTGTATATCAGATAATACAATATATTGACCACTCTAAAAAAAAATAATAAACATTTTTGACCCATGTGATCAATAAGGTATTATCAGGTGATTATGAAAGTAATATGTTTTTACATATATAAAATTCAGAAATTCGGGGGGTTTTTTTTTTTTAACTCTTTATATGTACGTACAATCATTTATACAAACTATAGTAATTTGTTCGACTTAAATATAAACCTGGTTTTTTTAGGATAGGTCAAGAACAATGTTTGCGGCAGCTCGGTTTTTATTTTATTTTTCAATATATAAAAAGAAAACCAACCTGATGTCAATCGAGAAATTGGGTCTGTCGCTTCACGGAACCAGACGTCGTGTAATCGGGGTTAGGTTGGGTCGAAAGAGGTTAGATTTGTAATAGTGAGCGAATATTAGTAATATAGCGTAGTGTAGTTCAGACGATTGTATTGTATGCACTTTTATTTAATAAAGAGGTGATTTGGTAATAGATATTACGACTTTTTATTGTGAGCAAAGCGGGAGTTATTCTTCCCGAAGGGCCAGAATGACCTTTATTTATAATAAATGTTTACTGATGATTTACACTAAGAACTGACTATATATACACAGAATCGTCTATAATGCCTAAATAACCTTTATCACCCGATACGTATTTATTGTCAAAACTCCTAAAACGTTCTTATTACCCTAATTCCCCATTATGTTCTTTCTGATTATTCTGCATTTTTTTGCCAGAAAGGACAGTGAGTTCGATTATCTGGATCATATGACCACATGCCTGTCCAATAGGGTTGCGATCCAAACTCTTTTTTTAGTTACGCTTAGTTTGGGTTTGGGAATCGGTATTGTTACACTCAAACCACCTCTTAATCAGTTCGATGCAACTGGGGTTTGATAACAAATAAATGCTTGGCTTCAACCTTAAAGTTGCCTAACTCAAGCTTCTACAAGAGGCTTTAACTTTGTGATTTGGGTTTCAAAAGAGGCAAACGGCTAATGATATGAAGATACAAGAAGTCGTTCAAGGATTAAACTAACAATAATTCAGGATGTGTGATCGTGAAATCTCTTCACATCAATCACATGATCACGATCATTAAGTTTCTTAACAGTCTAAATAATTTTATAACTTGTGTATGAAGACACAGGTATTTTATTTTTATTTAGATAAGTCAGGATTTTGAACGATGTTTTATTGAAGTGCAAAGGTAAGTCTTTAAATACATTTTCGATACATAGAAATAATTTAGACTACTCTACTATCGGTTTTACTTTTACCTGTTTTTGCTTACACACAATTATTTCTTTTACCACTAATCTTCCCTTCAATGCCTTTGTTTATATTAGAGTGCTCCTTTGCTTCTCCAGTTATTTAAAGGCATTTCTTTGAGAACCAGTAATCGCATTTGTAAATGATGGCAATTTATAATAATTAAATACTATACGGTCATCTTGGATGACTAATACATTCAGAAGGCTTTTTATCCATAAGAGATTTATAATTCTTATTGATAAATGGTCTCCTCCTTTTAGTCATTTTAATTGTGTAGCCATCTTTTAATTATACACAGGATTCAATTCGTTTCCTGAAGTATCGAATGATTTTCTATCATGCGTCAACCTCTATGTGTATATGGATATCCTTATATGGTAATAAGTATGCTATGTATGATAATAATAAATTTGGTAAGAA